ATAATGGAAAAAATACTGACCTCTTACATAATCCAATATAGAACATGGCAGAGATAACACGAGTCTATAGATAGAAAAAATCAAAGGAAGTAATTTGAGCAGAATACACATCTGAATTTGAGCACTCTTGAATACATGGAATTTAAATTACCTGAAGAATAATTTTCCAAACTGTTGCAGGTTCAGCACTACCTGTAGGTGAAAATGACAGTTCTTTCAGTAATAGAAAGAAACAACAAAGAGAAGAACAAGCCAAAGAACTCATAAGATTATACCTAGGAGGAATTTTGGAGATGGTGTCTCATCCCATCTCCCAAAATCGAATATAAATAGCCCAACGTACACACTGAAATAATTGGCAGGGGATTATTAAGGGAAGGATCCATAAATACAAGACGAGGAATCAGAGAAAACGTTTCAATCATACCGGGAAATCTGCAAGACAGTAAAACGCAATTGCCTTAACTCAAAACACGACCTAGAGTCTGACCTAAAAAGTAAAATCCAACGGATTGTACCCGCAAACCTAACGCAAATTTGATTGTCAAACACTAAAGTTAAAAGTCAACCTAGAACCTAACCCAAAACCAACCCCAAAATCAGGTCCAATCCCCAAAGTAAGAAACAAAATCCCTAACCAGAACCTAACCCAACAACCAATTGCAGGGGTGCATTAAGCTATTCCCATGTTTAAAAATTGTGAATAAGTACAAAAGAAATGAATATGACAATTTGCCTCTTCTTTCTACGCCGAACGCCCTCCTCTCCATCTCCGACCTCTGATTCGTTAAAGTCTCTCATCGTTTCTTGATCTACTCGCTTTCTTTGTCTCCTGGTATTCCTAGGGGAAGCAAGAACTGAAGAGGCATTTCGGGTCCTGCGTCTCCGGCGAGCGCCGGCGGGCTCGGCGACGTGGTCAACAGTTTCAAGATTCTCCGGTAAACGTGACTTCGTTCTCCGATTTGGGGATGGGGAGATGAGAAAGAGTTCTTGGTTTGGGACTGAAGGGGAAATTTCAGCAGCCACATCGATTCGACGAATTTTGGAGCGCCTTGAAGACGATCTTGTTCGGCTTCTGGGTTCCGGCGGCGGAGGAGTGGAGTCCATGAACTTGGTTTTTTTCCGGCGAGCTGATGTTTGAAAATGCGGAGAATATGTGGAGGTGGTACAAAGAGATACGTTGGAATATGTTTGAATTGACTGGTTTTGTAGGGGTTTTGACTTTTTGTGACTCCATGTTAGACCCGATCAAATTGTGGGTCGGTTTAGGCCGACCATCATAGCAATTAGCAAGTAGCAACCCAACAAATAAAATCCAAACCCATACAGTTTTTTTCTTTTTTTCACTCATTTTTGTACACTCCCCGTTCTAAAATATTTCACATATTTTTTCCAACAAATACGAGAAGTTTTGTTTATTTGTATGTTTTTATTGATTATTTGATAAAATAAAGTATTCTTGAAATCTCTTATTTCTAAGAGCTTTTCATGTACTTTTTAAATATGTAAGTTTTATTTTTTATTTCTATATCGACATTTCAAAAACATGAATTCAAAAAATTTGATGTTTTGCTTCGTTTTTTTAAAATGTGGTAAACATTTAGGAATTGATAGAATATTGAACATCTTTTTTAATAACTAACTTAATATTCGTATAGCCAAAATGCCAAATTAGATAAATTAATTTGGAACAATAAGATGGTGTTTGGGAGTGATTAAAGTGCACAAAAGTTGAAAGCAAAAGTATTTGATAACTGCTTCTCCAAAACGGTGTTATATATGCAAAATAGTGGTGGAGAAAAGTAGAAACTAACATGCCAAATAGAGTAAATAAAGGCATAAATCAATTGACTACTACCTCCGTCCCAGAGTATTTGTCCACTTTCATTTTTACACATCATCCAATATACTTCTTTAATCCATTTTATCTTGTAATTTGTAAATTAAAAAATTATAGAAATTATATTTTAATAATCTATATGTTAAGACAAATTAAACAAGATCATACATGACTATATTTAGGCTTACACATTGAGAGAATTTAATGAGTCAAAGTGCTTAGATGAACAGTTTCAAAAGTCAAAACTGGACGAATACTCTGGGACGGAGGGAGTATTAAAGAGTACATAGATATGTATGATGTATTTGTTCACTTTAAGTTGCTACAATAAAATTTGGAAAATTTTAATTAGAAATGAAAAAAACTTACATATGATAACTACTACAAAAATGATTTAATTACATTTATATTACGAAGTAAAAAAACTTTAGAAAAAATATTTTATTTTACTAATAGTCAATTTTTAACTCGCGTCAATCAACAATTTAATTCTCTAATTGACTTTACATGTATATTTAAGACATAAAAATTGCTTCAATTTTCCCTTTTTGCCCTTAGAGCACTTACAATGGGGATATTTTCCCCCGCCTCAACTCTTGTCACAACAGGAGTCTACTAACTTTTCATCTTGCTCCAAGATTCTATAATACTATCATCCAGAAAATCAATCTCTTTATTTTTTACATTATTTATTATTTTTAATTGCAATTTTTTTTTAAAAAATACATACAATTAAAAAAATTCTAAGATTGACATTCTTTATTAAAATCAACATCGATATAAAAGACGAAGTACACAAAATAAAAATTTAAAAAACAAACAAAAAAAGATTGAAATTATAGATGAAATTCTTTTTAAAAAAATATTGGTTTGAGAGATGAAGAGAAATTAAGAATATGCGTAAATTGAGAGAGATGAGAGAGGATGGATTGAAGTGGAAGATGTGTTGAATTGATAAGGTTGAATAAAAAAGGGAAACCCGGCGCGGCTGAGCGCTGTAGTGGGCGGCCGCCATGAAAAACCACCGAATCTTTAGCCCGGCTCTATGCCACTCTTCGAGCGTGCTCTGGGGCTTAATTTGCGACGGGAAGGCTACAATGGGCCGCGGTGCTTATTTTGCGGTGGTGGAGGGCCACAGTGCAGCACGGGGAAGCGTACGGTGGCGCCGCTTCCTCTCCTCAGTGTAAATGTCTTTAAGTATCTAGAGAAAGTAAATAAAGTAAAAAATTATAGATGAATATTGGAGATATAATAATCCAAAACTGGGTGATGCCTAGCTAGTATAGTCTGTTTAGAATAAAAAATTTGCTAAAAGAAAAGTAGGAAAATACTATTTTCTAACATACTGATGTACCCCTGGATGGCTCCACTAAAATCCCCAACTCTCCCAACATATCTAAAAGTTTTATTTCTTTTCTTTTATCAAAATAAAGTCTTTTTCCATCAAGATGATAAGAAAATAAAAGCAAAAACCTTTGTTTCTTGTTTTTGTCTTTTCAAAAACCTTTTACCCAAATAATGCCTTCCCTTCTTTTCTTCTAATCCTGATTCGGAATCCCTAAATAATCGATTATCCTTAATTGATAATCGACTATTGTAGTCTGCAGATTCTTCTCCAAAATACAAAACTTCTCATAATCGATTTTCATTAATTTGATAATCGATTATCATCATCCTCAGAAAGTATCCAGTTCCGAATAAGTCCTTGATAATCGATTGTCATTGAATGTCAATCGACTATCTAGTCCCTCAGAACATTTC